GATTCCGATTATCTTCTAAGCAATATTAATTTCAAATGCCCAACTTTTTGCACCCGTTCTAAAGATACTTTTTGTGTCCCTATGTGTAGAACAAATTATGCCAAGAACTGTTTTGTAATTAGAGCTTGTAGATCGCATAATACATATTATAACCAAATTGACATATTTGATAGTAATATCAACAAATTTTCTCAAAGCATTAAGCATAAACTCGATCATCCTTGATATAATATGTATTTTGCAACCCTCTCTATACACAAAGATTATGTTTAGTTTATTTTACGTATAGTTTGTATTTTTTTTTTCACTCCATGTTTACTTATAAGTGGAAACTTTATTGGCTGATGAGAAGAATAGATTGTATTTACATATTTCTGTATTATAAAAGCTGTTTGTTTCCCAACTGATAATAAATAAATAAATAAATAAATAAATAAATAAATAAATAATGTATCAACTATCTGGTATCCATAACACAAGCCTCGTAGCTTACCATGGAACTAGATGGTGTTGTGTGTTAATGTCCTGACATATTTATATTTATTTATATAGATATTTATATCATTGGTGTGAGTCGTCTGACCGGCTTGAAGTAAAAAAGTCACCTAAGGATGCGCCCGAGCAAACCAAGAGTAAGTCATTTAATTTTAAAAGATTTCGCAGCAATTTTTTGTTTATTTAAATTTAGATATCAATCTACATAAAGACAAATGACACACACAAAAACTGAAATATTTATTTACTTTAGGATATGTTATTTATATAGGGAAATTTAAAGAAGAACATGTGAGGTTACAAGTTTGAGAATCACTGGACTAGGATAGTGTCAAGTTCCCTCGGTACACTATTACAAAAGTTACATAACTATATCAGTAAGTTAGTGAGTTTAAAATACTGGAACCGGTTTTCATTATGGACTCATTTTGTAACGAATTAATATGTTGGAAAACACTATTTACATAGTTTATTATGTTATCTTGTTTTATTAGTTTATTTTATGTAAAAATAATATCTTTAGCAATGTTCATATTTTATCAAGTTTTTTATTATTTCTTGACGGTAGATAGTCGTTCGCATATTTAAGTAGTTTAAGAGCAATTTTCCTTTATCAAGCCAAGTGTAAATAATCATCATCTTTGTTTCTTTTGTTTAAAAAATAATTAAATTTAAATGAAAAAGACAAGACTTTTAAAACACGTTATATTTAATGTTCCACAAATAAACACATTGCGTCTCACGTTCATTTCTGCTTCACACGTTTTGACATGACTTTAACGTTTTCTCTGAGTGCTAGTCAAGATTTAGGTCTCCTAAAGGCTGACAACGGTTTAAGATGCTGCAGATGTTGCAGATGATATGATGAAGAGATCTATCAGTGATGACAACCACTTACTATACATACATACATACATACATACATACATACATACATACATACATACATACATACATACATACATACATACATACTATACATACATGCGTACTGCCTCGGTGGTGTAGTGGCTAGCATGTACGGCTGCATACCCGGAGGTCCTGGATTCGAGTCTCGGGTCGGGCCAAGTTTAGTTATTGAGTCTTTCTGTGTAGAAAGCCTCATTCTAACTTAATCTGTACATTTAATATTTTTTTGGAAATTTTTATTGAAATAGTCATTATATCGTTACAGAGGTCGAATCTATATTTTTTAGAATTTTCGTCTGTCTGTTTGTCTGGGAACGCATCACGAGTAAACCAGTGAACAAATATTTATGAAATTTGGTATGATGATAGCTGATTATTCGGGTCAATATTTAGGATTCTTTTTACTGCGTGAAAATATGTCATCTTTGAGAAATCTATACTAAACGTTAAAACATATCAAGAGACGAACCCGAGATATCGAGGGTGAGTCACTAGTAAAAAATATTTTCTTATTTATAGGGGACCACATTTAAAGGACAACCGATTTGGAAAAAATAAAACCATGAAATTCACTGTTTGCGAAGACATCGTGTAACTTTTTCAGATAAAACACACTCGAACTATTTCTTTCATTTTTAAAGTTTGTCCAAAATATGTAAAGCAAGGATGAGTAGATTAGTTAAATTGCATGGTAGAATAATGGGATATACAAAAATAAATAAATGAATTTTAATATTTAAAATGAACTTCTTACTGAATAAATTCATTTGTAACTTCTTGGAAGACTGCCGCTACCCATACGTCTGATGTGGATTTTGTGATAAAAGCGCTCATCTATCAACGTCGATACTCCCCAAAATAGGCGATTCGACGAAAAGCGATGTTATATGCTAAGTAGCAAAAAGATAACTTACTTATATAAAAGATTTCTGCTTTAAAGAGCAAAAAACTTAAGTTTTTATTGAAAATGTAGGTACAGGTATATAATATTGTTAGAATATTTGTAATCAGCATGTTTAATTTATAATGAGCCTATTATACACCCGACTGCTTGGCACGGGCCTCCTTTCAATACTAGGGGATCAGGCCATAGACCACACTGGCCAAGTGCGAGCGGACTTCACATGTCTTTGGAAAACTTGCTAGTTTCTCTCAGACATGCAGGTCTCCTAACGATGTTTTCCTTCATCGTAAGATAAGTGGTAATCATGTTCATCGTGTAAATGATTCGCACTTGAAAATATCAGAGGTGCGAGGCCTGGGATTTGAACCCGTTTCACTCAGTTTCTTAAACGAGCGCGTTACAACTGGGCTACCACTGCCTCATACTATTTAGCTAAATATATTCCATTTACAATCTTTGTAGGAAGATTCGATAGTGCGTACGTGTTATATACGGTTATAGCTTTTATGGTAATTAGTCGCTTGATTGTGATCGGAACCTTGATTGGATTTAGGCCGATGTGTTGTGTTATACAGTACAAAATACAGTATAGACCTATTATAGTTCAATGGTTCATAAATTAATAACCTTATTACGTTTTGAATTATTTTAAATAACATTTGGTTTGACTGTATATGATAGTGGTCATTTGTTCGATATTTGCTAGTTTGTAATAATTTTACAGACAATCATTTTGGTTTAGATATATAAATTAAGTTTTGATTTACGAGTAAATTGATGAAAATGAATCCATTTTGTGAAATTGTACTTTCACAAATTATCGTAATAGAGATATTTATAGGCCAAGATTTTTTTGATTTTTTTTTATATTTTCTAAAATATAACGTCTGATGATGTGTAGGTTTGAGGTCTACCAGGTAGTATACCGTACTTAGTATGCTATGAGTTATCACTGAAAGAGTTTCTAGCTTTACAGGAGCACTGTTGGTAAATTTCATCTAAATGTATATTGGAATAATATTAACACCTACATAATTATATATTATAATAAATACATCGATAACTTTTTACACTGTCCTTAAGACTCTTGTAGAAAAAATCATGGCTTAAAAAGCTTTCGATTTCAGATGTCAAAAATGTTAAATTTGTAGTTTGGCTCATTCACGTAATTCTTATCACGTAGATATTGTGGTCTTTAGCTTTTACTGCATTCTAAGATCTGAACCACATTTTTTTTGTTATTTTACTTGAAACTGTATACATAAAATGTAGATATTAACTTAATTTTAGATCTTTATTTCAAGACCCGAATGACAATACAATAATTTAATACGACTAAGCTTATATGATGATGGAACCAGTTGGTAGATAATAGACCTCTTCAATAGCTACTAGTCTCTATTGTATCGCCTGCCCCTAATTATTTTATTTAATTTACGCGAATATTTCACATTTATAAATAAAACTATCTTTTCGGATTTATTCGTAGATATATTTAGATTTTTGGATCCCTACGTTTCGAATGCTTTACAGCAATCATGGTCACTAAAAACGTCGAAGAACTCGGGTCGGTGAAGAAGTCGGGTTCGTCCCTAGGTTGTTTCCATTGTACAAACTTTCATCCTCATTTTGACCCCCTTAAGGGATGATTTCTGGGATAAAAAGTATCTTATATCCTTTTTAGGGTCTCAAACTATCTTCTTACCAAATTTCATCTAAATCGATTCAGTAGAACTAGAGATTACCCCCTACAGCGTCACAAACTCACAATTCACAAACTTTACCTCTTTATAATATTAGTATAGGTATAGATTGAGCTGCTTCATAAATTATCATATTTAATCAAACGCATATTCTAAATAATATATAATCTGTAAAAACATCTATTTATATACATTTATTACAATAGAGGTCTACATAATTCCAAGAACTCAAAGGCTTAACTTAAGTCGGCATCAGAAAATAAAGTTATTTAAAATGTCAGAATGTCTGTTAAAGAAATAGAAATGGTTCTTGAAATAATAGTTCTTGGCGAAGTTATTTTTGCTCAACTGACACGCTTTGAAGCCATTAACAAGAACATTGAATTAAAATAACAGGTTATAATGACGATGACTGAAAAAAATACGAATTACTAAATAATACATCAGGCTCCGTGCATAAGTACCTTAACTTTTATCTATACAGATAATTAAATTGGAGTGTCTGTTTGTAATGTCAAAATTACAGTCAAATTTTTAATATATACATATGAAATATACGGTCCTTATGATAAATATCCACGCGCGCGCGCGTGTGTGTGTGTGTGTATGTTTTTGCTACGAACTTCCGTAATTATAACGTGCATAAGTAGTTCGATTATGCAATATTTTAAGGCTGATCGTCAACAAACGTATAATTTGTTATATTGCTATTGAAATGTATACATAAAATGATGGTAGTTTCTACATGTAGCAACTAAATAAAATACGTCCGAAGTGCCGTTGTTATATAGTGTTTGTTATTATATGAGAGTGCGCAAACGTCAAGTCAAAATAGTCGCACAAATTATTTGTCATATTTTCACCAGAATTAATGATTTCATCTGCGTTTTGTTTTTTTTTTTAGAAAGGGCCATTACCAGTGTTGGGATTTTACTCCCTCCAGGTAAATTTCTAAGAAATTAATTAAAATTCTAAGAAATCTATTGTTAACCTGATGTTGACACCTCGGGGTGTCCGCGGTCGTGGAAGGATTTTATGTACTGCATCAAAGAGCACACTAAGCTTGATCTTGGTAGACAGTCGTCGGGGTGTAGTGATTGAGTGCATTTTAATGAGGCAATTTTGTAGCTTTCCATCAAGACGGGGAAGGTTCCGTTGGGTTTTAATGTAGTACTGGTTTTTTTTTGCCAGTGTTTGTCGACATAATACAATCTCACAACATAATAATTTTTCACAAGTACTTTTCGTGCAGGTGGTATACGTAAATGCATTTCCTAACGTTAAAAAAAAATCATTGCTTACGTACGGTCCGAGTTCACTTGTTCGATTCCCATCTTACCTATTTCTATTGATTATACATAAATTTTATTCCCTCCACGACCGCGGACGCGCCGGCGTTACAGTTAACAATAGATTTCTTAGAAATTTAATTGATTTCTTAGAAATTTACCTGGAGGTGTTATCTGATTAAGTCGTATTATTATTGATAAGTAGATAAAAAATTATATGTTGCTAAACTTCCTAGTATATATGACCTAAAAGGTAAGAGATAAAAAAAAAAAACAAAAAAAAGTTTTATTAAATATCATTTGTACATTATTTCTACAGTATTTAATATGCACATACTCTATTCTATGTAAAATGTAGATATAACAACTCTACCGCAGGCTATTATCTAGATATCTAACCACACAATTTAGTTTAAAGCGTGTATTTTACAGATTTTAAAGATAAAACGGTAGCTAAAATTTATAAGTGCTTTCTTCAAAAGTTAGAGGTAGCTTGATTTCTTAATTTTGGTTTTTATATAAATAATAATTTAAAGGCTACTTTTTAGTAGCACTTTATAGGAATATGGCGTGGGAACTCCAAATACATAATTTATATATTTATTTAATAGGAATACCAATACTATACATATGCAAAGTTTACATAAATATCATATTATAAAGTATCGATCGTCAGATATTCAGTCGCCAAATAGATGTATAGTGTACACACCTATCACAGGTATCCACAACACTGTCAAAATAAGCAATGGTACCTTAATCTGCAATAAATAATTATAAAACTATATTAAATGAGATATAATAATTAATTTTAGCATATAATATAATTAAGTATAATTAATATGATAGATAAAAGAAAGATTCCGACGAATTGAGAAACTCCTCCTTTTTAGAAGTCGGTTAAAAACTAATATAAACAAAAAAATATTTGGAAATACTGATGTACTAGAACAAAAATAATTTATAGATACGTGTTTCTGCACATGAGGTTATTTTATGGAAAAAATCATACCGATTCCATTATTTGTCTAAAAAATAGTCCAATTTCAATTTCTTTATACAAAATATAGCAAAAACTATAACATATTAATGTCTCCCATAAATGATAACACCTAAGCCGCCAAACATAAAATAAACTAGCGGCTCACCCTCGCTTCGTTCGATTCGCCTCTAGAAAGCCAAAAAAAAATCCTCGGGAACCGTATATTTTTCCGGGATAGAAGTAGCCTATGTGTTATTATATTGTGTTTTGTAAAGTGTCTGTCAATGCTACTAAACAGAGAAAGAATAGATAGATATAAATAGTTTAACAAGTTTTCGACGTGATACTTTAAATTGGCATAACTTTTTTATTTATGAACCGATTGACATGAAACAAACACTAAATATTAAATGAAGCGACCACAATATATTAGTGAAAACTACATTTAAATCGGATAAGTGGTTTATGAGATTAGCGTGCACAACCGCACAGACAAACAGATAAACACACAAAAATTCTAACAACCATTGTTTTGGGTGATATCTGCGTTGATAAAGGTCCCAATAATATTTTTTCTCATATATCTTCCATGTACGGACAGCGATCTGTAACATTTTTATTATATGCATAGATGGTGTCGCATCTTGAGAGAAGCGGTGGCGCAAGACTCGACCGAGACATGACCACGACCACTCTGTCAAGAGTGAACGACTAAGAAGAAGAATTAATATGTATTCAGAATTATATCATTACATATCATTGTCTCGAAACTTTTCCAATATTATTTGATTATTATACAGAACAAGTAAGATAAATGTTTGGAGCATCGCCTTAATAAAAATATTCGAATTATTCGAATTGTTTATCGATAATATTACGTCTGAGTTTATTAGCGGTAAAAAAAGTTTGTTTCATAATGACTACAATAATATATTATTTTCTAAGAATTTATTTAATATTATCAAGAACTCCAGTGCTAAATCGCTTTTGTTATAAATTATTGTATAAGTTTGTGTAGACACCGTCTGTAAGAATTATGACTTTTAGGACATCAAAAATCTTAGTCTCTCCCAAGACCAGGTTTATTCGAAATGGGATCAAAATCCCTATATATAAATAGGCAAAGACAAAACAATTCAGAACATTTTTCTGTTCTCTATTTGTTTGTTTATCAACCGTTTTTTTGTTTAGTAGCTATTGACGGCCTTTCAAGTTATCAATAAAAAAAATAAACCGTTTTTTTTTATAGATATGTAAATTCTTGTGATAATGGTCGACATATAAACTTTCTTAGTAACGTTTTCATAGTTTCTTAGAAACGTCGGAAACCAAAATATCTAAATAAATCCGCGAACAAAACTGAAAAGATTATTTTATTTAAAATGTAATGGTCGAATTTTAACAGCTAGCCTAATACTAGTAAAAATAAAACTGCGAAAAGTCCAAAAATAATCTATTTTTATTTTTATTATAATAATACCGACTGTAACTATTTATGTACATAAAATTTAAAAATATACACTTTGCAAAAGTTATATATACGACACAATATGTATTATGTATATCTTTCAATAAACATATCGCGTACAAAATCAGCCTTCGTTAGTCTCTCAATGTACAATGGAAAAATGAAAATAAATATCAGAAAACTTTGAAAACTTATATTTTTAAAAACAATATCAATAACAAAGATTACAAAGCAACGGTTTGTTAGAGTAAATAAAGCTACAAGCTTCATTTTATAACAATATTAAAAAAAACTTTTTAACAAAAAATAAAAACCGACTTCCAGGCACAATAATGTAAAAAATAATTAAACGGAGGTTTTTATTTAGAATAGATACCTAATCAGATATTTTGAAGTCCCCTGGGAAGTATACCCTTTGAAACAAAAAAATATATTTCCAAATCGGTTCAGGTGTCCTCGAGTAATCGGTGAACATACATAAAAAAAGATTCCGACGAATTGAGAACCTCCTCCTTTTTGGAAGTCGGTTAAAATATTTGAAAATATAGACGAAATAAAGTGCAAATTTTAAGAGCTATCACTTTAGGCTAAAAAATGCTAGCTATATAAATAACTACAGTATAATAAATAATAGAAAATATTTACACAGAATTATTTTAGATTTTCTAACATGATTACCGCTTGCCTTACGGCGAAGGAAAACATCGTGAGGAAACCTGCATGTCTGAGAGAATCTAAGTCCGCCAACCCGCACTTGGCGAGCGTGGTGGACTATGGCCTGATCCCCTCGTACTGAAGGAAGACCAGTGCCCAGCACTGGGATGTTAAAAAGGGCTGAATACAATTAAAATAAAATATATTAAACTATTATAAAGTATTAACAAAATTAAAATTACTTACATATGTACCAGTAAAATATACGTATAATATACTCGTACGAGAGTTACACTGCGGTGTTGCAATAAAGCACGTTTGTCGCATAGATCGTGATAAATTTTAAATTAAGCACTTTTTAAAAGCTTTGGACAATAAAGTATCACCAGCCCGCCCAGTGTGTTCGTGTGAGTACTTTTAATTTTTAGTGACCTGAAATTAAGGCCTTCAATTCTGTAGAAACTCAGACTAAGGAATTATATATGAAGCCAGCCAGAAAATGTCTAATTGTAAGCCAAAAATAGTGGGATGATTTGTTGTTTATGCTACACTATTCTTGATTTTGCTATACATATCGTTTATTTTCTTTAAATGATTAGGGATGTTTTATAAAAGTATTCGTCATTAATTTACAATATTTGAGATTAATATAATATGAATAGTAAAATTATACTATATAGCGACTCACCCTCGCTTCGCTCGGGTTCGTCCCTAGCTTGATTCCTCATACAAACTTTCATCCCCATTTCCACACCCTTAATGGATGATTTCCGGGATAAAAAGTATTCTATGTCATTCCCAGGGTCTCAAACTATCTTCTTACCAATTTCATCTAAATCGGTTCAGTAGATCCAGAGATACCCCTAAAACGTCACAAACTCACAAAAATTAACTAAAAATATTAGTATAGATTGAGTATATTCTTTTGCAATCTTAAGCATTAGTTCTCTTATTGAAAGAGAGATAGCATAATAGTAGCTTATTTTTTTTTCATTATTATAAAAAATCACTTAGCTATTTTTATTTATTAACATTTATTTACTTATCACAGAAATGAGTATTTTATTAATATTTGTATACTATTTTAAAACATTATTCTTTGGCTTCATGTTCAGTTCTATAACGCTGTGTCTATATAAAAATTTTCTTTATATAAACTGTTGGTAAATAGAACTCTAGTTCCGTTCTAGATCTTATTTGCTTGTAAAAACTGGGCAGCATTAAATGACCTTAAAAATAAAAAGTTATAATTGAAATTGTCGCCATTTTTCGTTAATTTGTCTTAAAATACAACCTATTCATTAAAAAAACACTCACCAAAATGTGTTTAAGTTTGGAAAGAAATTGCGTAAAATACATAGAACACAAACACATATACATAAAACACAAACATACATTATATAGATATTGACATATCATATATCATACATATCCTTCATTTTTACTAGGACTTTTTTTCAATATTTAATAGATAGATATTATATATAACTAGCGGCTCACCCTCGCTTCGCTCGGGTTTGCCTCTAGACAATCAAAAACAAATTTATTCCACGGAAACCGTACATTTTTCCGGGATACAAAGTAGCCTATTTGTTATTCTGATGTATGTTTATTGTAAAGTTTCATTAATATCCAATCAATAGTTTATGTAACGAACAGGCAAACAGACAAAGAAACAAAAAAATTGAATAAAATCTGGGTTTGTTTTATTTCTCTTCTTACATCCCCCTTACTCGGTTTTTAGCTTTTTTTTCTATGTACAGACCTCAACAACCTCTACAGTTTTATTTTAGTATAGATATTACACACCAAAATAATTAATTATATTAGGTAAAGTCATATAATAAGTATGAATTAAAACCGTACTAATATTATAAAGAGGTTTTTTTTTGTTTGTTTGTTTATTTGTACAGAATAAGCTTCGAAACTACTGGACCAATTTTAATCATTTTTACCAATAGGAAGCTAACTTATGAGGAAGTAACATACTCGTAGGCTATAATTTATTTTCAAAAAAATTAGAGATCCTTAAGAAAATTGCTATAATGTAACCCAAAGTAGCAAAATTATGCCTATAAAATTCATTATTTGGTGTGCGCTGAGAAAACTGTTGATGATACAAAAAATATATTATACTTAGTCTATTTATTCCATACTAAGCGTTACAACATACCTAGGGACAAACCCGAGCGGGGCAAGGGAGACTTCTGTTTAGAATCTTTATTTCTCATTAAGAATAACAAATTCACTTACATGAGAAAACACATTAAATATTATAACATTCACTAAATGCGAGTACGTACAAGTTACATTTGTGAGAAATACATAGTATGCGGGTAATCCTTAAAAATAATACTTAAAACTACAAACAAGTTAACAATACAGTTAGAGCAAAGCGCTAAGAATAAAGAAATCATGGAAATGGCAAAGACTACATTTTACTTTAAGTTTTTTAAGATATAATATTTTAGCGTTTTTTTAAATGTTGTAATTGTTTTTGATTCCTTTATATCTGTTGGTAATTTATTATATAACTGTGCTCCTTCAAACATAAGACTCCTTTTTCCGTAGTTAGTTCTCGGGGCGTATAAGACTAAGTTGTTGGCATTTCTTAGGAAATGCTTTTGAATTTGTTGTTTTTTAGTGAATTTTATGTTAGAATGTATATCTCCGCTCAGCACTTTTCTTATTAGCATACATGTATTATAGGTATATGTTTGCGTCACGCTCAATATATTCGTTTCTTTATAGATTTTCTCTGATGATGTTAAGAAATCATATTGAAATAAAATTTTAATGAGTTTATTTTGTGCAACTTGAATGGGTTTTATATTAGATTTAGCGGCTGAGCCCCAGACTTCGATGAGGTAATCAATATGAGGTTTCGCTAATGTATTGTATATTATATATTTGACTTGTTTCGGAAGACATCTAACAAAATTTCTGACGGATCCCATGAGAGATAATAACTTTCCACGTAACTTTTCTAGATGTGGCTTCCATGTGAGATGACTATCAAGGGTTAGGCCAAGATATTTTTCACTTTTAACTTTATTAATTATTTCGTTATTTATTGTAAGAGGTTGGTAATTATTAATTCTTTTATTTTTGGCCGAAAATATTATATAATTAGTTTTTTTAGTATTTATTGTTAATAAATTATATTGAAACCATTCATTGAGTATATTAAGGTCATTCTGTGCTTTATCTATAATAGTATCAATAGAATTACCAAAGTAAAATAAACAGGTATCATCAGCGTAGAGGGTAATATCTCCATATAAACCGATTTCTTGTATATTATTTATATAAATAAGAAACAAAAGAGGTCCCAAAACCGATCCCTGTGGGACTCCACATGTAATTAAAGAAGGTCTACTCTGATTCTCCTTTATTTTAACTATTTGATATCGATTTTCAAGATATGATTTAAGCATTTTATGGGCATTACCAGTGATACCTATGCTCATCAATTTCATCAGAAGTATTTCATGATTAACTGTATCAAAGGCTTTTTTTAAATCTATGAAAATACCTAAAGCAATTAATTTTTTGTCAACGTTTATTTTAATTTTTGTTATCAGATCGATTGTAGCTGACAGTGTGCTAGATTTTGGTCGAAAACCATATTGTTTGTCGTATAAAATTTTTGTGGCACCAAGATAAGATTCGAGACGATTGTATATCACCTTTTCAAATACTTTAGATAATACGGGTAAAACTGATATAGGACGATAGTTTCCAGGATCAGTTTTGGAGCCAGATTTGAATATGGGGGTAACTTTAGCTATTTTTAAGCTATCTGGGAAGGTACCTTTTTCAAGGCACTGATTAATGCATTTAGTTAGATTACTTAGAATAAGAGGTTTAATGAATTTTATTACCCTCGTACTTACCTCGTCAAAGCCTGTCGATGTATTAGAATTTAGGTTATTAATAATTTTTTCAATTTCTTCAGGAGTAGCTGGAGTAAATTCACAAAGATTATGGCATGTATTATGTCCTTTTGGTAGAGTGTAAATTGTATTATTATGATATTTTTGAGGAATGTTATGAGCTAGTAATTTGCCAATATTAGAAAAGAAGTCATTAAAATATTCGCAAATTAGCTGTTGATCTGAGATTATATTATTAGGTGTAACAATGTTTGAAGGAACAGAGTCTTCCTTAATTTTATTATTACATAAGCTACTAATTAAGTTCCACATTTTTAACGGTTTCGTTCTTGCATAATTGAAAGATTTTAAATAATACTGACTTTTTGCTCTTTGGATACTTTCCATAACGTTGATTCTTTCAATTTTAAATTCTTTTTCTATGTTTTCATCTTTTGGGTTATTCTTATAATGTTGCCATAGGAGATTCCTTTTATCTATACTGTCTATTATATTTTTATTGATCCAATCACTTCTAGGTGGATTTAGAAACTTTACTTTCTGGATCTTATTTTCTTTGATGCAAGTGATAAGTCTTGATTCTAATTCTGTAAATTCTAATATTTCATGTGTATTATATATTTCAACGGCTTTATAAATGTTTTCATAATTCAATGCACTATATTGTATTTTCTTCAGTATATTAGGCTTATATTTTTCTATTTCCATATAAATTTGTTTATGATCGGACATAGCCGAGTCAATAATAGCCAGGTGAAAACAGTGTTCTTGTAGATTTGTGCAGGCATGGTCTAATATGCTTCTTGTTTCTGGAGTAACACGAGTAGAATAGTTTGAGTCAATTTTATTTAGCGCTACAAGACCATATTCTTCAAGTGCATCTATATATTCCTTACTCGGTTTATCAGGGCAGAGAAGGTCAAAGTTAAAATCTCCCATAATTACAGCTCGTTTTTTATTAGACAATTGAGTAGAGTAAATTTCGAGAAAATCTGCAACATTCTTTCGGTTATTTTTGTAGATAGCTCCAATATCCAGACAGTATTTATTAATGTGTATCCACAAATAATGATTTTCTTGTATGCAATGGTGTTCTATTAGATTATGCTTTAGACTGTTGTGAATAAAAATGGACACTCCACCCCCTCTTGAAACTTCTCTGTAGTTATAATAATGTGTAAACCCTGGCAGAACTTGTTTTTTTGCTTGATCCTCTGATCTTATCCATGTTTCCGTAATAATAACAATATGTATCTGATATTTAAAAGACTGTAGAATGCATTGTAATTCATCTAACTTACCCTTTTTAACTATACTTTTAGCATTGGTGTAAAAGAACTTTAAAGATTTTTTAGAGGTAGTTATATCTGAATACTTTTTAGCTATTTCATAGGTCACTTTATTTCCCTTTAGCATTTTTGCCTCGCCTCTGGAGATAATGGATTGGACTTTTTTGGATGTTTCTGTACAATCTTAGGTACACCATTTTTATACTTTATGGTCAGATTTTGTTCGCCATTATTAATGCGCAGATCTAACTGATTCTTTACATTTTTAAAATAAGCCTGCTGTGCTGGTGTTAAATCAGAGGATATTTTTATGTCATTAAGTTGCACATTTCGTTTCAAACGTAATATAGATTTAACGGGATCGTGATTCTGAAAAATAGCTTTTATTGGGCGACATTTTTTAGCATCATATTTTCCCAGGCGATATATATTTACTGGTTCTGGTATATCTTTGGAAATCATTTTGACGATATTTATAACTTCACACTTATCAGAATCTTGTCTTTCACGGTGATATTTGAGAAGTGGTTCAGGTACACCTTTTAAAATAATATTGTTTTCGCGACTTTTGCGTTCACTTATCTCCGACATAATATGCTCACTGTCGTATGTTCTTTGTTGTGGTGAAGTTACTTGGAGTTGTTGTATTGTAGATTCAAGAGAAATAATCTTTTTATCTTGGTTTTCTGATGAGTTTGTTAGGTCTGATAGTTTTGTTTTAATTGAGTATTGTTCTTGTACAAGGTTTTCAGTTGTAACTTGCATATTATTCATCTGATCTTTAATTGATAGTATGTCTTCCTAGTATAAATATAATTTTAGTTAAATTACGATCAGAATTCATAATAATTTTAATCTATTTCTCTTTAATCTTTAGGAAAAAGCTAAAAAGCTCAATATTGAAGCTTATATTAAATTTTATGTGGTTCAAAGATGAAATGTTTATGACACGTCAAATATGATAACCCACCGGTATCCAGCTTAAGTAACTTTATTAGATGTTTGATCTCGTATATGTATAAAGAAATAAGTTCTAAGAACATAAGTATTTTACAAATAATATGTACTTTACTAAAATAACTAATACCTAATTATTATTCATAATCTGCGTTTAAATTTTTACAAATTAACTGACAGTAATAGCCTAGTGGTACTGCGATCGCTTGGGAAACCGAGTGAAGCAGGTTCAAGTCCCGGGCCTGGCATCTATGATATCTTCATGTGCGAATCATGTCCAATATGATTACCACTTACTTTACGATAAAGGAAAACAACGTGAGGAAACCGACAAGCTTAAGAGAATCTAGGAAGTTTTCGAAATTATTGAATACAAGCCCTATGCCTAGCAGTAGGACGTTGCAAAAGGGCTGAATACATACCTATATACAAATTTTAACCTAAACTATACTAGAAATAACGACTGAGTCAAATACTCAATAAAAATATTCAATTTTAATAATAAAAACACCTAAAATTATATGAAGTCAGTTAATGCCATTTCTATCCCTCTTGTTCTGTGTCACTTTTTACGCCGGTAGAAAATTACTTATCAAATAAGGAAGCTACATAAAGGTAAATGTCATCATACTTTTTGCTTTTTAGATTTTATCTGCCGCTTGCTTAAGCGTATGCTATTTAAAGTAATGACACGTGTCTTACTCTTCACGCTTTACGTAATCAAAACAGGCAGATGCCGTGAAAAAATATACTGTAATATAATACTTTCTTAGTTTTATGCGAATATTTGACATTCTAAATAAAACTATCTTTTCGGATTATTTCGCGGATTTATTTTGATTTTTGGTACCCGACGTTTCGAATGCCTTACAGCATCCATGGTCTCGAGAGAGACCATGTCTGACCATCATGACCAGTCTCTCCCGAGGCCATGGATGCTGTAAAGCATTCGAAACGTCGGGAACCAAAAATCAAAATATATCCGCGAAATAATCCGAAAAGATAGTTTTATTTAAAATATTCTGATGAGTTTATTTTTTATCTGTTTCTTTTAACATGGTCATATTTAAAAAAAATCTTATGAACTGCCTTGATGGCTTAGTAGCATGCTCTGTAGATGTCTACAGGTCCCGAGGTCTTGGATTCGAGTACCGGGTATGGACAAAGCTAGTTGTTAAAGTGAGGTTGATTAAGAGGATATTATGCCTTAATATTTATTTTTTTATTTATTTATTTATTAGCTTTTCAAGGGAAACAAACAGTACAATAAAAAAATTACATTCTAAAACATATAAAAGTTATGCTAAAAACCAACCAAGTTTCCACAGATTCACAATACATAAACAAAAGCTTACCACCACGATAAGATGATACATATTATGTAAAAATTTTGAATTTAAAAAAAAAACTAAATGTTACTACTTAATAAAACATCAAGTAATTATGCAGTTAAAAGTTAAAAGTAACAATATACATACAACCTACAGCAAAACTACCTATTATAAATTAAGATTTACAATATTTTTTTTAAAACTATTATATTTAAGATGAAAGATATCTAATTTACTATATTTTAAATTAAACTTGTTACATGCACGAGATACAAAATTATTTGAAGCATACTTCGTTTTAGCCTTACGTATTGCAAAAAGCGGTTTATTTCGTGCACCTAATCTGTGACACGCAAGATTCACTTTGCTTAAAAGTAGGGGAGAGTCGATTATATTATGTAGTAATTTATACAACAACATTTGATCTCTTATATCACGGCGTTTTTCGAGGGTATTACTGTTTAAGTTTTTAATAATGGAATCTACGGATGAATTATAATGTTTCAAGTGACGCAGAAATTTTTTATTAATTGCTTCAATCATTTTAATATAAACTTTGTATTGAGGATTCCAACATGAAGAACAATACTCAAGAATAGACCGCACCAGAGAGTTAAATAGTAAAATTAAAGTTGTGGACTGTTTAAAATCTTTCGAGATACGCATAACAAAACCTAGCATTTTGTAAGCTCTTTGAGTTATAATACTAATATGTGACCCCAGTACCAGCTTACTATCCAACTGAACACCAAGATCACGCAATTCATTTACTCTTACAAGTAAATTGTCATTAAGCTTATAATTAAAGGGGATGGGATTCTTTTTTCTAGTAAATGAGATGACGTTACATTTCCTGATGTTCAGGTAAAGATCATTTGCTTGACAATATGAACTTAGCCTACACAGATCTTCTTGAAGTAGATTGCAGTCCTCTAAAGTTTTAATAGACCTAAAAATTTTCATATCATCTGCGAAAAGGAGAACTTTGGAATTATGGAAGCAGGATATGACATCATTTATAAATTATATAAACAGCAACGGACCAAGATGCGAACCCTGAGGAACACCTGAAGAAACAGGGAGGAATGATGAACAGTATCCTTTTATTGCAAAAGCCTGACTGCGATTTCTAAGATAAGAGGATATCCATCGAAGTAAATCACCATGTACACCGATTTGTTCTAGTTTGTGTACCAGAATACCATGTGAAATTTTATCGAAGGCTTTTGTATAATCGGTGTACACTGCATCTACCTGCAGTCCACTATCCATAGCGATATAGATATGGTCAAGAAACTCGCAAAGATTACTTTCTGTAGATTTACGACCTACAAAACCATGCTGTTCGGGGATTATAATTGGTCTAACTATTTGAGAGAGCGTATCGTAAATAATTTTCTCAAATAATTTAGGAATTGAGCTTAATTTTGAAATAGGACGGTAATTTGAAATGTCATGTTTATTACCACTTTTAAATATGGGAGTTATAAACGATCTTTTCCATTGTAAAGGCATTTCACCCAACTTCATGGAATTTCTGAACAAAATTACTAATGGTTCACCTAATTCATGGTAACATCTCTGTCAAAAAAAACAAGGGTGGAATGCCATCAGGTCCTGGTCCCTTACTGACATCCAAACGTTTTAAATACCCAGAAACTTGAGGGATTGTAAGAGTGATTGAATCGATAATTATCGACTGCGCCGAGGTAGAACTCTGACCGTTATGATTTGGATTATTATTAACATTAAAAGCTGAGCAAAAGTGATTATTAAATAAGTCACAAATTTCCACTGGATCAGAAGTCATATAATCATCTAGAAGCATCATGTCTGGAAGATCATTACCTTTTCGTTTAGATTTTACGAAAGACCAAAAGAATTTACTATTAATACCAATCCTGTATTCAGCATTATTGATAAAGTTATTATAACAATCCTCCTCCATAAGTTTTTGTCTTTCTCTTAATACGGCAAAAGATACGTAATCACTATCTCGTTGATACACCTTCCACTTGCGATTTATAGTTTTAATCAATGCCCTATTATACCATGTCGGGTACTTAGTGTTAAATTTAATAGTTTTAGTGGGTACGTGTTTCTCTATTATATTATTTAAAATTTTATAAAAATTCGATACAGAGACATTAATATTACCGTCACTTAAATTAGATTTCCAGTCTATTTGCGAGAGATTTATATTTATTGCCTCATAATCAGCATCCCTATACAACTTGACTGTATGAGCCCGGGCCCCGAGCAGTTTCTCATGTGATTTTAAAATCGTAAACTCAAATGCTGGATGGTGCGAGTCTTCGGAAACTATTGGAGTAGATACTAAACTGACTTTGCAATTAATATTAGCTATTAAAAGATCCAATATACGATCATTAATATTTTTAAATATATTGTACTGATTAAAATTATTAAAAGAAAGAAAATTTGCTAGTTCATTAACTGTATCTAACGAAAAGTCTCCATATAAGGTCACATCATCATAACTATTATTCGACCAGACTGCGTTAGGTATATTAAAGTCTCCTAGTATAATGAAGTAGTCATCAGGATACGAAAGAACTTCATCAGAGATATTTTCGTAAAAATTTGACAACACATCTTTGTGAATTCGACATTGTGGAAAATAGCAGCAGTATATGTTGCATCGTTTAAGTCGTTCAAAAGAGATAGATACACGAATTACGTCAGCAGCTGAATTTGTTGATGGGATGCACTCAACGTTGGTGACTTTTAGCTCACGTCTCATTGCAATTAGAACCCCTCCACCCATAGTATCACCCCTGACTGTATAGTTACGATCACTTCTGTACACGTAATACCGTGCGTCAAATAATTCTAAGTCGAATATACCCGAATGTAACCAAGTTTCAGTGAAGCATATTATATCATATTCATGACATAAGACCTTTCTAAAAAGCAAGCCAGTCTTAGTACGTAGACCCCGAACGTTTTGGTAATAAATTTTTAAATTAGAACCGAATCGTATAAGACAATGTAAACATATATATGTCATACATATACAGATTGTAAAAAAGTGATTTAACAAAGGTGTTATCAAATGTTGTTGTAAAGGTATAAATTAAATTATATAAAATGGTAATTATCACAGAATGTGTCAAGATCACGTGCACCATAAAAGTAAGTTTGTTATACATATTGAGAAAAAGTTAGTAGTAGGCTATCTAATATGACACTAACATAGCAGAAGAGGTTAATTAGGAGCAGAAAATTATAAATAGATAAACTATGCAAGCGAATATGCAAATAAAACTAGTGTTTATTAAACAGTCAGATATAACACGTACTTAGCAAAATAGACTCTTTAACTAGAACGTTCCATCACTATCAGTTCTGCAAGGTCACCTTTTTGCCTTAAATTAGCTCCAGGTTACCTTAATATTGCACACAGATGAAACTACTGAAATTGGGTATATCTCAGTAGATGTATCAAATTTCAGA